GAGTATTCTTCCTTTCCAGTTGAAAATTCTACGTTTATTTATTATAATCATCAATAAACCAAAAATATAAATACACACCTTAGTATTTAACTACAGTGTAAACTCTTTATAACCTCACTCGATTTAACGACAAACTCCTTAAAACGTTGAAATTGCTTGACTTTGTGGTTGATTTACATTGTTTTCTATACAATATTACACTCTGTATAGCGTCACGCTCACTCTATTTAACGACAACAATGCGGCATTATGAATCATTGAGCAGTACTTTCTAAGTTGCCGAAATAGATAAGAACTGCAGCTGTGTACGTTGTTGAAGAAGACGATCCTGTCCCTCCACCAAGCATCAAACAAGCACTTGATGCAGCGAAACTATTAAAAAAATACTTTTTATATAATCAAATTGATCCAGCAGTATCTCAAGATATGAGGAAGATACGTAACAAAATACAATTAAAATATTGGAGCAGCAAAAAACATCAGACGAAGATAACAGGCTATACGCAATGTATGAATAATAATGTTCGTGTGCAAAATGTGTACTTTATTGGTAAATACATATTATTATAGAATAGCAAAATAATATCTTTTATTTCTCTCCATTTAGCGACCACTCTTTATAACGCCGAAAAACGTTCAGTCCCTTAAGTGTCGTTATATAGAGTTTACACTGTATATAAATTATTATAAAGCTTTTAGAAAAGTATCGTCCTCTCCTTCTGAACGATCTACACGATCATATCTATTGCTACAGCTATATGTATGTATAAGCCAGCAATATACAGCAAGTACACATGTATGGTAGGCATTACTTTAATTGCTCCAGAGCAATGTCCAAGTGTCTCTCGCTGGTCACCGGTGACCGCTGCGGTCGTCGATGGTGATCGTAACGATCTATCAGCGCGGAATGGGTCGCTCTGCTCGGATCGGACAGTTGAACGAGGTGCCAATTACCGGACTTGACCCGACCAAGAATTGTCTGTCCTTATAATAACTCACTGTAGAACATTTTAGCGTAACGATAAAACTAATCATAGCGGGACACAGAGGCGTGGCTCGAATTTAGCATACAGACCAAAAAAAAAACAAAAACGACCTGGGCTAGTAGATCATTGCCGTCGATTCAATAGCGAATTGTTTTTCCATCTATTATTTTATTGGCGTAGGTTTGTTATATAGCAGTTGTTGCGATGATGTTTTAAAGTCCCAGGCAGAAATACATGATCTCTTTTGTACATGATTCCTATCGTTTATAATGAAATCGAATATTACTAGATTACATCATCATCTTCGTAGGGGCGTCAGTGTTAATGCTGGTTGAACACGCATTTCCAATCTTTGCTATCCTGAGCTAATCTTCGCATTTCCCTAAAACTAGAACATCTCCCACATCCGCAACTGTTTATGAGCAGCAATCTAATCTAGGCTTATCTCTATTCCTCTTAACATCTGTTTCTGCTTCTAAGACGAATCTATCTCGCCTATTTCTAATTGACTTCCACTTACTAACTAACTTTTAACTTTTGGGTGTTTCATTCGCACCAGCCAGTAATGCTAGTGGACGGGCAGTCCCTCCGGACTACGCCGGAAGGTAGAGCGGAAGGCCCTCTTCAGCCTGCTTTCAGAAATCGTGGGAATGGGTGGGTGATGGTTCGGGTGGGTGATGGTTCGGGTGAGAAAGATGAGACGGACGAAATGAAGACAGAAGAGAATGAAAGATTATCTGTGGAATATTACTGCCCCAGCATTTGCCTAAGTGATCCAAGGAATCACAGAAGAACTTGGACCAAGGCAGACGGACCCGGAATCGAACCAGTGTTCTCCCGAATGCTAAGCAAAAGTCTAAACCTCTAGGCCACGCCGTTCGCATCATTCACCTCCCATCATCATCATCATTATAAAGTTGTCAGTCTTAAGACTGGTTGGACACGCATATCCACTGTTTACTATCCTAATATAATCTTTCCCTAGAACTAAACATCTCTCAGATCCGCAACTGTTTATGAGCAGCAATCTAATCTGGATTTATCCCTACTCCTCATAACTTCTGTTTCTGCTTCTGAAATATGCCTCTGACTAGTCCTTCAAATCTGAGATGTCCAAAGACCAATATGTCTTGTCTATTTTAATTGACTTCCACAATGCCCTCTGTTCTTCTAATGTTTCTCATACCTTCTAATTTCTAACCTTCTCTATCCACGGTATCCTCATCATTCGCCTCTCATCATTATCCTCATTATAAGATTGTCAGTCTTAAGACTGGTTGGACACGCATATCCACTCTTTGTTATCCTGAGTTAATCTTTACATTTCCCTAAAACTAAACATCTCCAACATCCGCAACTATTTATGAGCAGTGATTTAATCTAGGTCTATCTCTACTCCTCCTAACTCCTGTTTCTGCCTCTAATATGTTTCTGACTAGACCTTCAGGATCTGAGAAGGTGTCCTACCAACCTATCTCGCCTATTTCTTATTGACTTCCATAGAGTCCTCTGTTCTCCTATTCTTTCTAATATCTCTTCATTTCTAACCTTCTCTATCCACGATATTCTCATCTTTCGCTGGTAACACCACATTTCAAACGCTTTTAACTTTTACTTTTCCGCTGTGTCCACCGTCCACGTTTCGCACTCGTATAGAACCGTGCTCCAGGCATAGACCTTTAACAATCTTTTTCGAATTTCTAAATTACAACGAAACTGACGTAGCGCCAACAAGGTTGGCGATATTGGTTAACACCACAAATCGCCGAAACACAACAACAAAACTCTGGGGAAGTATAGTACCGAGTTAAGTAGGGGAATCACCCGGCATAAGCCTTCTGTATTCGCGTTGCATAATGCTAACAATAACTGATAATCTTACAAACTTAAGACTCTAGTTACATATAAATAAGGCAAGATTATGTAGTGCCTAAGTCAGCTTACTTACTTCGAACGGATCATTAATTTTTGATCTCTGTTAGGCACATTAATAAATAATAATTTAACATTAATATACAATGTTCTCGCTGTGGAAGAAATGAGCCCGGACTTCCTTTGAAATACTCCGTGCTTTTTATGCGATGCAAATTGAACAATGTGTATATCTATTAACGATATAAATAATAATAATACGTATATGCCATAAACCTATGTAAACGTTAAAACACTGTACCGTATAAGACATTATGCATGTAAGTGTTCTAAGAAGGAAGTTGAAATGTGCTACTTACTTTTCTACACGGTTTGTGATCGCAACCGTTCGCCCAACACGTGCTGTATAATTGGATAATAAACAATTCATTTCTTACAATAGCTCGCGTAAGCAAATTGTAATTACCTCCAAGCACGAACCGTAATGCCCCAGGCTATTTTATAAATATTTAATCACGTCCATACTTAATTAAGATACCATAGGTTCATAAAATCTTATTAATCCAGGATTTTCCAATTCTAAAAGTCGGAAAACGAACATTCAAGCACTCTATTGTTTCAACTGTTACACTTTTCTCTCCTACGGCTTTATGTCCGATGAAGATTTAATGATGATTAATAGATAATAGGTATAATACCTACATGAAAAAGATGTTTGTACACTCTATAATTTAGACTAGAGAATTAAACATTAGGAAGGAAGGAAGTCAGAACACAATGTAGTCTGTGGTCGCTACTCTTTAATCTAGATATTCGACAGTCGGGACCACTTTAGGGGTAGATATACAGGGGCAATAGCAGTATTAGCAATTAGAAGGGAAGAGTTAGAGATAGCCTCTTATATAAGGGAAATGGTACTGACAAAACAGTATGGTATGAAAATTAATAAAAGTAAAATAAAAATGTTGATATGCAAGGGAAGATAAAATAGGGAGAGAGTGATTATGAAGTTCCAAAAAGTGAAATACTTCAGGATGGAAGGACCAGTAGAGATATAAGACAAAGGATAACGCAGGGTCGAGTAGCGTTTAACAAAAAGGAGTCACTTCTATGCTCGCGAACGGTTAATTTAGAAGTTCAAAGACGATTGACAAAGGTCTACGTCGGGAACACGGTCCTGTACGGATACGAAACGTGGATGTGGACGCGACGGCAAAGAAAATATTAGAAATGTTTGAATTGTGGTGTTATAGGCGAATAATGAGGATAATCTCAGGCAGGAAGAGCTAGTTAAAGACAAATAGAAGCTAAGCATGAAGAACTGACGGCCTATGATGATCACAATCGTTGATTTATATTTTCCAAAGCTGCATAAGTCTCAAAAACTGCAACGGTTATTAAAGCATCATTTGAGCAATTTTGTGAATAATTTAATATCAAATTCAACAATGACGCTTCAAGTAATCCTGAAGAAAAACTAATTCATTTAACTATCATTAAGTTGTCTTCGAACAGTATAAGTTTAAGTCAAATTACAAATCGCAAATCAAAACCCTATTACCAATCCTGAGAGAAACCCTGAAGTACACCATGCGTATGGTCAATCTAGTTGAAACCCTACAATTCGCTTCACTTAAGGTACCTCAGTCAGGATCATATAAAGCACCCCTTGTAAGGTTTCTCTAGTCGGAGCACCCTAAATAGGTCAACCTGTTCAGAACCACTCAGGGATCCCGATTAGGACCCTGTAAAACAATGTGATCCAGTTTTGACCGAATTTTCCTTTTTGAACTCTATCAATGGCTTACTCAGAAAAGTTAAAACCAAGTTTATGTTATAATCATTCAATTAATAGCGTAGCAAATTAACTAGATACAAAAGTAAATGAATCAGTTCAGTCCTCTTCTTGGAAAGTTAAAATTGATTTAAATTGTTCCTTACACACATAAACATGCCTCTCTACTTTTCTTTGTCTGAAAGGACAAGACGTGGAACAACCTTTCTAATTCCGTTTATTCAAGAGCTTATAGTAAAGTACGTAAATTGTTTGTGATTAATAAACGCATCTAACCATTTGAAAATACTATAAATAATGTGTCAGTTGGACCGTAATAAAATCGAAATTTAATTTTTAATTTTCAGACATTTCGAGAACAACAAATCGATGGCGCAGGTCTGCCATTGCTAACCGAAGAACACATGATGAACACGATGAATATGAAACTAGGTCCTGCCCTGAAGTTAAAATCAATCCTAGCGAAAAAATTAGGATCATGCAACATATGTCTGCATTGCACACACTGCCATCGGAGTCCCGGATTATTAGAACCTTCGAATTCTAATCCAGGATCTGCATCAGACTCTGGAGCGCCGTCTTAAAACGACACTCTTATATTTTCGTATACCTTATTGTCTGATAAATGTGTTCATTAAAATTTGTTGACGTATAATGTTATACCTAGCAGGTGGTTCGTGATGAGGCCACACAGTAGGTACTTTCATTTTGTATTATCCTGTTTATCAAAAAAAAAAAAGACATTTCCTATCAGATCCAGAAAATAATAATAAGGTGCCTTAATACAAATTGCTCAAATAAATGTGAAATATTGAACGAAAAGGTGCAGTAATTTTCAATCTAACAAAGGTACCTTTTCCAAAACGTTATCTAACATCTACTTAATTGTTGAATGTATGAAATATTTTTGGGTACTGACCTACAAATGAAATAAGCGAAGCTTTTGCTCAAATCTAGTGTAAGATTTCTATTTTTTACTGTATGTAAATTAAGTATTATTTACAAGATGTTGAATGGCGGTTTATAATAAAGTGATAAATATTTATTTAAGAATTTGTTATATCTCGATACCTGCTGCAAAATGTTCTTTCACCCATTTCAGATAGCAAGGCACCAAATTGGGTACCTTCGCTCATAGACAATAAGGTTATGTTATAAATAGAAAGACTAAATAAGTTAGACCCAAGTTTATGATCCTTTTTCCTTGGTAACAACAGATTAATATCCAATATATTAGTAAAACACTTACCTTTTTAAACCACCACAGACAACAGGTTACGCTAAAGGCTTTCTCCTACTACCCCACGCTGCAGTCAGGACACAAACAGGGAACAAGTCATTAAAATTAAATAAGCGACAACAGGTATACACGAACACGTAACACAATAAGTAAATAATAAGTAAAAAAAGTAATTAACGCTTTTCCTCAATTAATAAGTGAAACATTAATAACATGTGTTTTAATCCGGAAGCCCAGTAACAACATGGAGCAGAGTCATATCTATTATTTGCATGAGTAGTGGTCATTAAACTGAACTGTTTTAAAGTGAACTTTTTAATGTAACAAACTATGGACTTAAATATAAACAAAAACTAATACGATTAAAAATATATGTGTATTAATTTAATCATTCACAAAATGTTTCCTTATTACAGATTGGACTTAATTAATACTAATTAACATGTACAAAATTAATTATAATAAATTTATATAAGGAAGGATACTAATGTCGACACACAGTATCTATGAATGGTAAAATCGAAAGTGTTCGATTTATATTGGTGTAATCAGTCAAGTACCAATTATTATTGCATATTTTGTTGCTAGATTTGCAAAAAACATATCACACTTTTTCGTTATTTCCATACTGAGTATTTTTGTTAACTTTATTGCTTTCTCTTCGGTGCACCTCATCTATAAAATTTGATTAAATGTACAACTGGCCCTTTTACATTTAAATTGCCTAGAGTATTTTAAATAAATAAGTTGCTAGCAAGAATTCAAACCATTTATGTTCAATAAGTAGGTGGCAATGCAATAACGATTTTGCGCAAAAGAGAAATGACGTTAGAACGTTTTAAAAGATGTGTTTATCTGAGTAAATAACAGCTGTCTAACTATAAACTGAAATAGTTGGTCAATAATAAATACGGTACGGTTACGTTAGAGTGTTTTACTTTATTTATACCGGTGTTTGTGCCGTGATGCCACTGAATTTAAGGAAGAAGGACGTTATTGTTACCCATGGGACCTTTCAAGGGAACATTTGGGAATTTAATGAAAAATGAGGAAAAATCCGTCAGGAGTTAATGGATCTGTTAAGGTAAGACTACAAAAATAGTACTGTTCCCTATTTAAAGTGATAAACAGGTAAACATTTAAAAATATCAATCATATTCGAGTTGCTGCATGTACATTACATCAAAATTATTGAACATGCCAAAATAAAATATAAAGTATACAATCCCTTTCAACAAAAGACCCCTTTTGAGTCCCATACATTCTTCCCATGGGTCAAGGGTCATGACCACATAGGTAGTAGCACCTCTTGGTTCAGAAAATCATACTACACCTAAGAAGGTACTGTAATTGAGCTAAAAAAAAAAGACTTACCATAACTGGGGTCCCATTTTTGAACATCTCCAGAGCCAGATAACACAAACAACGTGTTTCCTAACGTTTGGACGGCTGCTGCTGTAAGAAAGATTATTCTCCACTGTTCGTGATCTTCCTAAAAGACGTAGCAATATTTTAAACTAGTTTCATACGGGTTGGTACCACCCTTACTTCGTTGGTCACGACAAGTTGAACCAAAAGGGGACCGCAAAATGACATGGACGCTGCGAATCCGTTTGTGATACCCATAAGGGTACCGGAATGGGTTGGTGACAAATCGACATGATTTACGTTGAAGCCACTCACGGTTGCTGCGTTTAGTCCTACCGCCAAAATTAGTAACAACATCGTAACAGCTAAACTCGAATTTCCAAAAAATGACATAAATATTAGAGCTACAGCTGGGCCATACAATCCTACAAATAATAAACGGTCACTGATATCATATCATCGTAAACCAGCATAAGAAAAAGTTACCTATACTGTTCAAGATTTTTCTTACTGTCCCTGTTCGGAGAATACCCCTGTTTATTAAATAATCCGCCAAGCTGCTGTACCCAAATGTGGAAATCCACATGACTAAGTATGGAACTGCTGATAGTAATCCGTTCTAAAAGTTGAAAGAAGTTTACGAAACATACAATACATAACTCAACCGATGATCATCAAATTATGTATTCACATTGTCAGTGGTACAAAAAAGGACATAGGGTATCTTTAATCTAAAAAAAATACTGTTTCCGGGGAATAGAAAAATTAGTTTTATGTATTCGCTGATGATTATTGAAATCTATTTAGGTCATCAACGTAAGCGATGCCGCGGCTGAAACCTATCATGATATTTTGTGCACACCTCGTCAGGGGTACAGAAAAGGACATAGGGTACCTTAATCCGAAAAAAAAATGTATTTTCGGTAGATAGAAAGATTACTTTTATGTAGTCGTCGATGATCTTTGACTTTTCGACACGTATTTAAGACAATAACGCTAGCGAAGCCGCCAGTAAAACCTAGTATTTGTATAAATCTATCTTTGAAAAATATTGCTTTATAAAATATTATTCAAAACTAGTGATCCGCCCCAGCTTCGCACGGGTGCAATGCTGATACTAAATATATTTTTGTTTTGTTTAGATTATTATCGAAAAGGGGAAATCTTCAAAAGATACCCCCTGAACATACTAAATATACTACAGAATGTCTTTATATACAACATTCACAGTGTTTTTGTCATTAGACAATACAAACCGGCCTCCCGGCCGGTACCGCCGCAACCGCTATGTCCCTGCATTTTAAATCTGTAATATCTTCGAAAATATTCATTTAAATTACATGCTGTAAAGGGCCATATTGATCTATATTAAATGCACAATGTATTTAAGGTACTTAATTGGATAAGAATTAATGCTGTATTGCCTACAATCGCTTCGTAAATAAGTCATTATTTCTCATAAAAAGTAAAGGATAAAAATGGTTATTGTGGGTTATCCCTAAGAGATAGACATATACCATCCCGGACTTTTTTGTAGAGCCTTTTAAGATGTACAATATTGTAGTACATTATTTTGATCTATCTCGTAGGATTCAGCCAGCGTTTGCAATGTAAGCGCAAAAAATGTGTTTATTTACGACATCACATTAGAAATCTCTAAAATTATCAGTGTTTCCCTGCTATATTATGCATGTATTATACATATAAACCTTCCTCTCGAATAATTCCATCTTTTAAAAAAAACAGCATCAAAATCCGTTGCGTAGTTTTAAAGATTTAAGCATACATAGGGACAGACAGCGGGAAAGCGACTTTGTTTTATACTATGTAGTGATGAATTAATAGCATACCGAAGAAATGTCCAAATCAAACATGGCATTGATATAGATAGGAATTTCAGTGACTAAAGTCCAAAAACCCCAGTTTTGTGCCATATGGGTCAACAAGAGCGACCACAACGGTAACGATTTTAAGAAAGACAACCATGGTGTGCGAACATCCTACAAAAAAAAAGAAGCACAACATACAATTAGAAACATTTTTGGCATTAATTAGTGACAAAATTTCTTTGATTAGACATTTAGTATTGCTCTGTTTAGCAATGCCCTTGCTACAGATTTATGATTCTCTACCTTTGGTTCTTCTTTCTTTGAGAGGGAAGCCTCGATATAATCTCTTTCTTCGGGCCTTATCAGTTTGTGCTCTGATGGACTGTTGGCGCCTAGGAACAACCAAACTCCAACCCAAACCAATCCTAAACTGCCAAAAAAGTAAAAGGCAGAAGGCCACCCTAAGGGACTATTACAAAACCATCCCGTTATAGGCATGGATATGACTGTGCCAAAGGTAAAACCTGTGGGGAACATATTAATTAGATCAATTCATCTAGACGCATAAAAGGGGTGGTATAGTTAGCAATTCACGAAATCGGTATGGTTGATGATTAACATTAACAACGGGTTTGATCATAAAAGTAAAACACTTAGCAAGACTATGTCATGCTAGCAGATCACATATTCAATCCCCTCATCAGCAGATGCGAAATAGATTGTTCTTTGACCCCGAGACCAACTGAAACGATAATGTGATCGGCTGGCATAATATCAAGCTAACAGATCACTCAATTACTAGGAATCTATAGGATCTAGAAAATTAAAGCTTTTACTACAAAATATAATGCGAAATAGATCATTCGTTGAATCTGAAATCGGTTAAAACGAAAGAGTGATTAGCTGGTATGATATAACGCTAAGAGATCACTCGATTACTAGGAATCTATAGGCTCTAGAAAATTAAAGCTGTTACTACAAAATATAATACGAAATAGATCATGATATAACGCTAAGAGATCACTCAATTATTAGGAATCTATAGGATCTAGAAGATTAAAGTTTTTACTACAAAATATAATGCGAAATAGATCACTTATTGAATCTGAGATTGGTGAAAACGAAAATGTGATCTGCTGGCATGATATCAAGCTAACAGATCACTCAATTACTAGGAATCTACAGGCTCTAGAAAATTAAAGCTTTTACTACAAAATATGATGCGAAATAGATCACTTATTGAATCTGAGATCGGTTAAAACGAAAATGTGATCGGCTGGCATAATATCAAGCTAATAGATCACTCAATTACTAGGAATCTATAGGCTCTAGAAAATTAAAGCTTTTACTACAAAATATAATGCGAAATAGATCACTTATTGAATCTGAGATCGGTTAAAACGAAAGTGTTATCTGCTTACATGATATTAAGCTAACAGATTATGCGCTTTCTCGGGACGTTTAGACGCGAGGGGTAAATATATGACCTCCTAGCCCTTAACTCATTAAAAAGCGGTCTATTTGGAATATTGTTACATGCCTGCATATACAAAGGTGCCAATTCTCGATCTTTCTGATGGCGGTACCCATTTTCCAAGTAGATTTGCCACTCCAGGAAAGAAGAACCCTTGGGTCATGCCCTGTATCACTCTGCATATCATCACACCATAAGACCCTAGTTGAGCCATTGTCGGAATCAAAATTGTAAATAATGAACATATGGTCATGGCAATGCAAAGTGGTATTTTAGGTCCGAAATTTTTTGCTATCTGTCCAGCAATAATTTGGGTCAGCATATAGCCCCAAAAGAACGACGACATGATTGTACTTTTGTTGTCCCAATCGTACGTCTGAAAGTGATTGTGATGATGAAATTCAAAGCGAAGTGGACTGATTAATGTTTTTTCACTGACTTCAAGCATGAAGGTGCAATAAACATTCCTTCATAGGTAAAAATTTGCATTTACTCTTTACTAAAGTATTTATTTTTTGCTTTTGACAATGTTAAATACATTTAGAAATGTATAAAGAGCAACAGGCAGTTGTCGAGCTAGATTAAAGACAGGACAACTGTAGGGATGGATATACATGGATAAAGGATTAGTATGTTTGGATTTGAGGATGATATAGCAGTATTAGCATCTAGCAAGGAGGACCTAGAGATAGTTTTAATAAAATGGAAGCGGTACTGACAGATCGGTACTGTATGAAAATAAATAAAAGTAAAACGAAAATACTGGTATGCAAGGGAAGAAAAAGTAGGGAAACAGCGAATATAAAGATAGGAGACGAAAAATTAGAAGAAGTGGCTGATTTTAGATATCTAGGAAGTCTCAGATAAGTGAGGATGGAAGGAGTAGTAGGGATATAAAGCAGAGGATAGCACAGGATCGAGTTGCCTTTAATAAAAGGAAGTCACTTCTATGCTCATGAACGGTTAATTTAGAAATTCGAAAAAGGTTGTTAAAGGTGTATGTTTGGAGCACGGCGTTGTACGGATGCGAAACATGGACAGTGGGCGCGGCGGAAAAGAAAAGGTTAGAAGCGTTCGAAATGTGGTGTTATAGGCGGATGATGAAGATACCGTGGATAGAGAAGGTTAGAAATGAAGAGGTATTAGAAAGAATAGGAGAACAGAGGACTCTATGGAAGTCGATAAGAAATAGGCGAGATAGGTTGGTAGGAAACCTTCTTAGGCATGAAAGTCTAGTCAGAGACATATTAAAGGCAGAAACAGGAGTTAGGAGGGGTAGAGGTAGACCTAGATTAGATTACTGTTCGCAAATAGTTAAGGATGTAGGATGTTCTAGTTTTAGGGAAATGCGAAGTTTAGCTCAGGATAGGAAAGAGTGGAGGTACGTGTCCAACCAGTCTTAGGACTGACGACCATATGATGATGATGACGCGAGAAAAAAGGCACCCCTTCCTTCGGCTAGGGTGGTAATTCTCTTGTGGGATACATTTTTTTTTATTTTTTACTTTTATTTTCAGAATTTTAGTATTTATAATTAATTATTAGATTAATTATCTGAAAACCGAAGCTCTTGAAAGTGTTTCAATAAGTAAACAATTCCTTATCATATTGATATAACGGTTAAAGCTATCTGACATTTTGTATTATTTTATTGTTTTAGTCGTAGAAAACGAAAGAAAAAGCTCAAGTATCAAACGACTCCTGTTTTAATGAAATTTTGTTTAATTAATGGTATTTTCTCTTAGCCCATGCCTTACGAGTGTTGACTGATAAAATTATTGATTGTAGTTATACTTACTTATGTAAATGCCATAAATTTGAACAAGATTATGATAAAAGCATATTAACAGATTGGCACATTTCTCTGCTTCTGGAGTGGAAAAAAGTAACGGTAACTTTAAACGTTAAATTTATTATTTTTGGGCGATTTTATGATCTTTTTTAAAAGCATTCTACACCTTCTTATGTTTTCTATTGTTTTGTTTTCGACCAAAATCATTTACTTACCGGTGTGAAGCTCGAAGTCGTGTCGGTCATGGCTACAATTCCAACAGATAAGCATATTCTTATGGCAAAAGCCACTGTTAAGAGGAAAAACATGAGCAGGGCTTGGGCATGGCGAGTTCCAAACTTGAAACCTTCTGAAAAGTCAAATATGTTCTTGTATATGTAATTTCAATCAGAGAAAAACTCAGAACACGTTGTAGTCACTAAAAAACATCCACATCGCAAAATTCGTGTTGAATCTAATACGAACGCTCATAGTGGGTTGTGAAAAACACAGAAAGGATGTAGCGAAATTCGTATTGTGACTTATGATTCTTTTCGACCCCAAAAACGCTAATTAAGGGAGAAATAAGCTCAGAATGCGTTGTGGTCACTGAAAAACATCCTCAACGCATGATTCTTCATAGGGTTATTATAAAACCGATCATAACGTGTTATGGCAAACACATAAAACTCACAGCAAAATTCGTGTCGTAATTTTCACCCTTTTCAACCACAAATACGTTAATTATGCAAAAAAGTAACCCAAAATGCTTGTAGTCACTGCAAAATACGTGTTATGATTCAAATAAAAACAGTTGTAATGCGTTGTGGAAAACACAAAAGGATTGAAACGAAATTCGTGTTGTGGCTATCATCCTGCTCGACCACAAAAACGCTCATTAGACGAGAAAACAACTCAGAACGCGTTGTGGTCACTGAAAAACATCCTCAACGCAATACTCTTCAAATGGTTATTATAAAACCGATCATAACGCGTTGTGGCAAACACATAAAACTCACATAGCAAGATTCGTGTCGTAACAATCATCCTATTCAACCACAAATACGTTCATTATACGAGACAGTAGCCCAGAATGCGTTGTAGTCACTGCAAAACATCCTCATCGCAAAATACGTGTTATGACTCTAATAAAAACGGTCATAATACGTTGTGGAAAACGCAGATGCAATGAAACGAAATTTGTGTTGTGGCCATCATCCTGCTCGACCACAAAAACGCTCATTAGACGAGAAAACAACTCAAAACGCGTTGTGGTCTCTGAAAAACATTCCCAACGCAAAATTCTTCATATGGTCATTATAAAACCGACCATAACGCGTTGTGGCAAATACATGAAACTCACACAGCAAAATTCGTGTCGTAACTATCATCCTTTTTAACCACAAATACTTTCATTGTGCGAAAAAGTAACTCAGAATGCGTTGCAGTCACTGCAAAACGTCCACATCGCAAAATGACGCTAACAAAAACAGTCATAATACGTTGTGGAAAACTTAGAGAAAATGTAGCGAAATTCGTGTTTGTGGCTATCATCCTGCTCGACTATGAAAACGCTCATTATGCGAGAAAATAACTCAGAATACGTTGCGGTCACTGAAAAACATCCACATCGCAAAATTCTTCATATGGTTATTATAAAACCGGCCATACCGCGTTGTGGCAAACATCTGAAACTCACATAGCAAAATTCGTGTCGTAACTATCATTCTTTTCAACCACAAATGCGTTAATTATACGAACAAGTAACCCAGAATGCATTGTTGTCACTGCAAAACATCCACATCGCAAAATAGCGACAACAATAACGAACATAACAAGAAAGATTACGTGTACCAAAATTCGTGTCGTGACTATTCCTTCCAAAAGCAATAAGTAATAATAGGTGTTAATTTTTGACTTACTTGTTTTTCCATTTTCTGCTATCGGATTGACCTGATATTGTTTATTATCCATGATCCCTTTTTTTATCAACACCGTTGGACTTGAGAGAAGTAACTGATAGTTGTTATTAATTTACATCCACTGGTAGTAAAGGTAAACTACTGATAAAAGTACTTCTAATACCTCATTTATCAATTTCTGATACACTATCCGATAGCCAAGAGCAACCACTTGTAGATTGTGGATAATTTCTTACTATATTACGTAAACAAATGACACCGTTTTAAAATTGTTCTTATTATTATACGCATTAAATATGTACCTTATTCAGGAGTTACAAGAAATGTTAATATAATTATGCAATAAGACATTAATGAAAATTGTCTTTTTCGGTTTTTGAAGAAGAAAATCAAAATTTCGGCGTATTTTGGCCCGTATGTCACAATTAGTTATCTCAAAGAACTATTAAATCTTATCAGTCGATAATGGATTTTTAAAATGACGCAAATGGTGGAACTTGAAAATTTTTTTTATGGATAATACTTGGAGAGACATTCGAAATGTCAGATAAAATGAGTTTAATTTCAAAAATTTCAGTTTTTGAAGTCATTAAACACCCTTAATTGGATTACTTACCTTACTTCCATATGGACTTCGATATGTCATTATCAAACAACTTCGTGCAACAAAATAATAAGATCCTAAAACATTCACTCTGATGATAGCTTAACATGAACAAATTGTACGAAATTGTTTATTAAATATCAGAAAAATGTTTTATTGTTTATAACAGTGATAATGAAAAGGCTACACTTTGGTGCATTACGGATAACATGGCATTAAATATAATACTAATTGAAATTGTTGAGTATCTATAAAAATGAATTATTTTTTCAGTATTTTTTAATTCAGTTGCGGTTAGCGATTTATTTGAAACTAATAGAAGAATGTAAGTTACAACAATATGTAATGTCATTACTTATTACAAATGTAAGGTCACGCAGTACATGCAAGGTTGAACAATTGTATGTTTTGATATGTCCACAAAGTACATCTTATATACAGGGTGATTTGATAAATATAAATGTTTATTTACCTTTTTATTGTTAGCGTATTTTTTCGAAAATATAGAATATATAATGCTAGGTACACAATCTCACCAGTATATTCCTTCTCAATCCCTTGAACTACCCCCTAGAATTCACAGTTTTATATGTGTTTATGAGTTTAATTTTTGAAAGATATTTACACCATTTTGTACTACATGGTTTTCTAATTTTGTTATAACAATTAGTGGATTATTGTTTAGAGATTGATTAGACATAAACTGCAAGCGTTTGTAATAAAATAAATGTTACGTATTATTGACCTTGACAAATATTTAACACAAATTTATTTAAAAAACTGTGTTGCACTATCTAATTCAGAATATTATTTGCTGTATGCAAATTCTGTATACATAAAACCATAAAATCAAATGTTAATTAAATAATTTCATTATTAACGTGTTACTTACAAAAAATTTTGTGGACAAACCGCCGTACTGTAGATCGCATTTTTATATAAGTTATAATTGATCTACTTTTAAAATTAATTAATTAAAGGCTGTGCTACTTGTAATCAAACTAGCATTGTTCTTTTATATACGTTGTTAATTAATATTCTTTTGTTCAAAGTTATATTACAATATCATACGTTATACATATAAATTCTAAGTTTTACGTGATAACCTTGAAAGGATAATTGATACTTATAAATCACTTGAAGATGACAGAGTCAAGTTTTGCAACTTCAGCTTAATTTGAAGGAAATGTATCAATTCTGACTACTATTATTCTTTTTTTTTTGTGTTTGATAAAAGATTGATATGACGTGGGTATCTGCGTATCATTTTTTAGGTATTCTTTCAATTTGTTCAAACCGTTTTGCAAGGTGAATATTTTTGTTTTGTATCACTGCGATAAGGGTGATTGTGAAAACCCTCATCGTTAAAATGCGTCATTTAAGGGATTTAAATGATTAATGTGTCAATAATAATCAACGTCATACGTCCACGTGATTATGAAAAGATGCGTCTGTTGAATATCTCCATAGAGATAACATAAAATATAAAGTGACTTTAACATTCTTTGTTGAGTATTTACTGTAGAAAAATTGCCTTCATTTTGTTGCTAATCAGTCGTGAAAAAATTGCTTTTAACAACAATTACCCTGTTAGGAATTACAATAACAAATTGACAATGATCAGAAATCTGTCGAGATTGAAATTTCACCACGGGAAAATCCCTAGATCCATGTCTAATTCGCTGAGAGTGAACAGTAAATTCCCATGAGGAATTCACCAGCGACAAACACAATCTTGCCTTCTTCCAGGAGGGTGTTATGCTACAAGTTCCCAAAAATGAAGCAAAACGTTCCATCTAGGGGTGTCTCGCTGTAAACCATGAATGAAGCCTGAAGAAGCCTCAGAATTGAGAAAGAAACGCCATTTCTACTTACCCTGTATTGTTTTGCCTCATTACAGAATTAATGCCTGAAGAAAATGCTCTAAATTAAATGAAATTTAGGGGAAACACCGGCGGCTCATTTGTGAAATGGCCACCTGCCGCACGGGCGGCCAGTGTCATAAGAAGAAGTACGTATTTTAAATGATTCGTTTTCGGAAATTCGAAGGAAAAAGCCAATTGATAAGGTTTATCAACTTTTTTATTTGAAAATAAATAAAACACTTTGCGTAATAACAGAATATAATAACAATTCTCATTCGCATAAATGTCCTTCAGCTGCACTCTCTTTGTCGCCTTTTTTCTGTTGTTTGTCGTAGTAATTCCACCCTTGTCTCTCACCTGTGGCAAAAACAAGGAAAAACAATCCACCCAGAAAATATATCCCAGCCGTGAAATAGAACACGATTGACCATTGACCAGCGTTTGTCTGAAATGAAATAATATTAACAAAATACGCTCTCGTAACCCATTTAAATTAAACACGAATACAAGGTTTAAGAGCATTCATACCCAACAAATAAACTAATGTGATAAGTCAGGTACAAACACAACCCAATTTGTTTCTTCCAAAGGTATTTCAGATAAGCTAAATTATTGTTTATTCTCAAGTGTGTACTTTGTGTACTTGTTTGTATATTGGAAGTAGTACAAAAGTCTGACAAAAACAGCACAAAAAGGATCTATTTTATATATGTGAAGTGTCAAATTTCAGAAAAGTGCAGGTGCGATAGTACTTGGGAGGCTGTAAAAGTGGAATCCGTTTTATTTTTGAAAAAAAAATCTTATGTTAATTAAACGTATATTAAAGTTTCTTCCTGTTTGGCCCACATAGGCTGGTTCCCTATTTATTTATCATGAATCAAGAGACATATCAATCAATTATTTCGTTCATATTTTCATAAATACCTCGTAACGGATTAAAAAAGTTATTATTGGGAACATGTTGCTATTAATCTTACGTTATCTTTCACAAACACTCCGACAAGCAGTGGACTCGGTATCGACAGAGCGTTCGAAATCGTGTTTGTTAATCCCATCATTGTGCCCGCATAAACTGGAGACAGATCCAAATAATTTACCATGAACCCAGCGGTTGAACCGGCACTTATCCCACCGGTCAATACCAAAAGTGTGGTAGCTAATGTTGAAGAAGCGCTTTTTTGGTACAAACCCAAAACTAGCAATGCTACACCAGGACCTATGAAACCTACAAGAGAGAAGAAAACACTCACGATCCTGTAAATCACAAATAAGGGAGCGAGGGGGTGAGAAATTGGATGCCCAAAAGGGAATAGAAGATCTTTTGTGAATAATATGCTACTAATTACATCAGGATAACTGTACATACGATGGAACCGTCGGTCGAAGGAGTAAAGAGGTCACCTCACTCCTAAAAACTTCATTATGTTAAATTAGGTTATGTTACGTTAGGATTTTTTCCAATATTGGATTCTTCACCTCCATCTCCTTCGTTAACACCCACAAGAGCTTTTGGTGTTGTAGAAGGTCAATTCTCCACCCCAGCCCCTTCCTCATCGCGCACCCCTTCCGTCCTCCTTCGACCAACGGTCCCATTATTTGCACAGCAATCAAAACCAGACAATGTTATGGTGCAACCCTTACCAATGGTATTGGCAATTTTTCTTCCAACAGTTACGTTGACCCATCCTTTGTTGACAATGTAGTCAGTGGCTACACCAAATAGTAAGGCCAGAATAGTATTTGCGATGTAGGGCAAGGCAGAAAGAAGCCCATTCTGTAGAAAACATAAGGATTTACGAACTAACAGACCTAATAATACAGTTATATACAGTGGACCCCCGATAATCCGGTCCCTGGCTAATCCGGCACCCCCTGTAATCCGACATGGTCTATTATTTATTATGTATTGAATATTTTTTTGACAATCTTCGCTAATGCATGATTGAACAAGTTATAACTTGTACGCACCACCACTATTGTGCTCGACGCGTAGAGTATTGTTTTGATTCTGATTGTTTAGTTTAAATTTGACTACATGTGTTGAAGATAGCGATGCGGTCTAGCGTGTGTTCATTGTTTAGTGTTTATTCATTGTGTATACCTGAGGTTAGTTTAAGTCACTCCATACCCTTCGATGAGTACGAGAGAGTAAGCAGTAATGACCCATATTGCTTTCTCTTTTTCTTCTCCCTTCCACTCCCACATCAAGCCCCTCCATTCCGTAGACTAGCGAAGCCTTTCTCGCAACTTAAATAATATTTACGAAAATTTTCGTTACTAAGTTCCGAATACTATTGGGTTTGGCTATGGAAGAGGGGACTCACCTACGAAATGGAAGGGATAAGAAAAGGAAATAATCATCTTACTCGCACTCGCAGGATCAATGAGGAGCTCCTTGGCTATACCTGAGGAGCTCTCGGGAGTCAAAAGAGCCGAGTTTGCCCGGCTCTGTTTTAGACCGCCCAAATCGTAAGTTTTAGGCAGTACTCTATAATCCGACACTGCCCTGTAAACTGTTTGTCGGATTACCGGGGGTCCCCACTGTATATGTATAGTCACACGTACATCATCTATGTTAAAACCCAACACGTAATTCATATATGTCGGAACCTCTGTGAGGCAGGTGTAAAGTCCCCAATCCGAGCAACAATTTGATACGAGAATTGCCCAAACTGGCAGAGATAGAGCCATATCTTTCCAGGGGGTTGAACGGGGCTGTAAAATATTGGACCCATCATTTAAATAGAGTTAATTCAAAACGTGACTGATGATAAAATACTTCATCGACGTTTTCATTTCCAAGGGTTGACCTGATGTAGTGGTGTTCCGCGGGGGTAATATCTTTATGTTCATGGGGGCCATTACTTCCTAAAATTATATACACGACGACCCATAAGAGTCCAAGACAACCGGAAGTGTAAGATGCTAAGGGCCAACCGTATTTACTCGCGCTCATCACACCCGTTAGGCCCATGGACGCAGCGGTCCCTACTTGGCACCCTAAAAGTTTCAATAAGACATTTTTTAATGAAGAATTTATATTGTAGGTAATTGAGACGACTTATTAATTAAATGCTGCTAACTGTGGATAGATGTGAAAGGGCAAAAGATCAGTATGCTTAGATTTGCAGATGATATAGCAGTATTAGCATCTAGCAAGGAGGAGGAATTATTTTGTTCGATTATGGTAACGTGCCTATCACGTTGTGATGGGCTACGGCGGGATTCGTTTCAGCAAGTAGATATCCATATTTTTAAATGGACCTTGCTGGAGTATACGTAATCCTAAAATCTAGCATCGTACTACAGATGGCGCTCACCACGCCATTTGTGGTATTTTCTAAAACGCGCTGTTAAGACAGCAGGTAAAGGTTGGTCTGTGTTCTGTTGGAGCTGCCTGCGACGCGCTGATGAGATCCAACAAGATCGAAATCGCGATCCGCGTCTGGCAGTTTCGACAGAATACAGACCACTTCGAATTATTTTGTT